AAGTGAGCCGTCCTCACAGACATCTAAAGAAGAAGAGAGTGAGGGATGTGCGGTGGGGGAATTAATCAAACTGGATGATGATGAAAGTGTGACCAACAAAGCAATAGAGGTGTTTCTGGCAGAGAGGACTAGAGACTGGGGGGAGGAGTCAGGAGAGTGGAGATGGGATGAGGTTATAAAAGAGGAGAGAGGGGAGAGAGAGACAGATCGCGGGAAGGAGGAAAAGAGCATACAAACAAGAGAGACAGGTGTAGAGAGAGAGAGGATCGTAACACTGGTAAAGAATTTCCCGAACTTAATGAAAGAAGATGGTTTGCTGCCTCTACCGAAAGAAATAGGAAAGATTAGGGCAGGTGAGCAACCAGAGGGATGGAAACCGGGAGTGGGTTCGACTACTCGCCCAGCGGTGGACAGTGGGACCCTTGGTGGAGTCAGCCCTTTCCTACCCAGGCTGGAGGGTTCGGTCGTGGTCCATCCCTGTTGCAGGACTACCTGCTCGGTGCTGACTGTGTCAGCCACGAACCAGAACGCAATCACTCACTTTGGGGTGAAGAAACTGTGAAAACCAAAGATGTGGGACCTGGGGTAAAACCCAAGAAGTATAACATGTTAACAAATGAAGAGTTGCCGGACCCGTTTGGTCCAGAGTTACTTGATGGAAAAGTTAATAAAACCAATCCTTTAAAAAGACGGACTTCCACTTGATGGTCTTTTATCCTATTTTCTGGTTAAATATTAGGAGTCCCCCTTACAGTTTTTGTATAATCACAACATGGTGTAATTCTTTTCAAATAAAGCTGTTGTTTCATTTATTAGTACCTTCTTCAAAACTCCTTTTGCCCTCAAGTAAAGCTTCAATCAGGAAAGGATTGAGGTGTTTTTCAGTTTTGAACTACACTAGTAGACTTGTTCCATATTTAAGAACAAACATGCAGCTTCTAAAATACAGCTTTGATTCTCTTCCTATATATTGTATCAGTTCAGGAAAAATGCATGATAGCTATGCTTTACAAATACTTCAAATTAGAATCTTCAACCATAAATTGTATTATTGCTTCCCTCATTATTATTTTTTATTACAAGAGTGGGGGTGATAGCTTAAGATATCAACCTACTCCAAGTTGCCTATCTCTTGTCTGACTTAAAAATACATACAGTACAGTATTCTATAGTCTGGGAATGATATATAGAGAGTATTACTATGTTTTCAAGTCTCCATGAATGAAAACCAGTTGAAATGAAATAGGGTAAATGTCTTACATACATAAATTACTATAAAAACATGGGACATAGTTACTCTCCCAAAACTTTTGTTTCCATATGGGGAAGATTTAATTTAATAATCTTAGAATTGCAGAGCTGGAAGGGATCCTATGGATTAGTGAGTCCCGCCCCTGTCAAGGAGGCACAGTGGGGGACTGAACTCCCAGTCATACCTAAAGTACTAAGCTATGCAGCAGTTGCAGACTCTTGATTTTTGTAGACGTTGTCCATCCCTGTTACACAAAAAGGGAGATCATACCATTAAGGGAGGACTGTGAAGACCTCAATTGTGAGGTTACTTGTCTAGCTGGCTGCTATGGTGACAGAAGCTACACTACTACCTTATGCAAACAGTTCTGTCACAGACTCACTGTGGAACCTTAGAGGAGTCACTTTACCCTTTGTTTCTCCATCTATACAATGGGGAGAGTGTTTCTTTCTGGACATCATTTAGGGGCTGTGTACTATATTCAGTGGTGGCTGCTGTTAAACTGAGTGCCACAGGGATGACTGCATACTCCTACAAATAATATTAACTAAGTGCTGCACAGCAACTGCATGGTTTCTATATTGCCTGTAGATTAAAAAGTACCTGAAGCATTTTCTGATAATTTTCTGCACACAGAAAAAGGGAGAAGTTGTTCACAGGCCTGGAATCTGATTTTGAAGAATACAGAACCTACGGAACACTTAAATGATAAATCCCAGAGAAAACTCATCAGAGAAACCTATTATAAGGTAAGTAGTAGAGATGGTATACTTGTTTATTTTGTTCCCTCTGGCAGATAATTTTGAGGAAACAAAAATTACACACTCACCCAAAGGTACCTGTGTGCCACAATGTAGTGTGTGAGGTAGAACTCACCCTAACTGGTCTAGAACAAAGTAGCTGCTCTATTTGAGAAAATTATTAAATGCGAGATTACATTTTCTTTGTTATCATAGCAGATTTCATTATTGTAGTGGATTTTATTTATATTGAGTGTATTCTTGATACGTGGTACACTTTGGTTAAAAAAAAAGGCGCTTCGATATATGCCATTTCCCCTCTTCGCTCAAAAATTATATAAACAGTATCATTGGGGAAGGAAACTGAGGGTGTAATCAGATGGCAAGAAAGGATCATATCTGATAGCACCAGAAAGGGTTTATTTGGTAGGAGTGATCTCCTTTAAAGCAACCATTCTGTTTGTATGGAGAATCTCTTCAGCCTGGACTGAAAACAGATACCCCTGCCACTAGACCAAGGATATAGATCAGGGTCAGACTGCTTCATGATCTGTACATTGTGTGATTGGCAGGAAATAGCTTGGACCATGCCACAAGTGATCCAAAATGCCCCATCTGTCTAATCACCCCCTCGGATGCTTAATTATCCAATCAAAATATTCCTTTAAAGGTCTGAATAAACCAAAAATATTATTTTAAAAGTCTGATTAAAGTAGATATTAAAATGATACTTTAACACTTAGGTTATATAACGTCTAGTAATATATCAATATCAGCTTTTTCATTTATGAGCCTAAGGACTGATTATGTGCTTGCATGTTACAAATAATATCAAGAGAGATGTCATTTGCTAAATATGTCTCAAGTTGTTGCTGAAGGTGGAGGAAAAAAGGTCAGTAGAAAAAGTTTACAACCCCAGTTTTAGTTAGTCTTACATTCATGTTATGAAGTAGGAAAAGACATGCTATTTTTATATTTCAAGAGACATAGTCTCCCATGTTTTATGGCCAATCAGCCCTGAAATTGTACACCTTCTCTGGTATAGAGATGTTTGCCTCTGATAAAGAATAAATGTTAATGTAAACATATTCCATATTTTATAGCAATGTTTTTGCCCTTGTCAATCTGGTTTTGTGGAAACTGCATATATCCTGTTATACTGTACATTTTACAGGGATTCATGCAATCTGCTTATTTCCACAGTTTTAAAAGATTAACAAGATAGAACCGTTTCCCCCCCTTCTCTGATATTTCAAGTGAAACCATGGCCAGGGTTGCAAAATTCGGTGCAGTGACTTACGTGTACAACCAGAAAGCAGATAAGTAAATCAGCAAAGAGGTTAGGAACTCACTCTTAACTAGAATCTGAATTTCAGGCTGTTGAATAGGTCTATGGTCAAAACTTGTTTCGGTTGTAAATACTACCTGATTTGTTACTGTATTTCAGTCTTGCATATCCAACATGGCTGACCTATGCTCATTATTATAAAATAAAATAAAACATCTTTAGGACTTCTAAGCTAAGTAAGTGGATCTCCTAGGAAATGTTCACCTTTTATCATTATTTTAATACAGTAATTCAGTACAAATGTGGCAACTGTTTATTTTCTTCTTATTTTTTAAAGACCAAATGTATCAACTTTTGGCTACATTTGAAAGAGATATTAGCATGATTTTGTTAGCCAATTTATGTTGCACAGTTCTAAAGTCAAAGAGAAGACTTTGAATCAATACAGATTTATATGAGTGATGAATAATTGATTAGAAGCAATATCTCTACTGGATCATAGAGTATTTCCTGTTCCATATTTCTGTATTAATAATTCTCAGTTACACTTTTCAATTAGTGCTTGGAAACATGATTATTGGTGTGCATTCTGCCAAAGAACTGAAGTACTTACAAAATTGCTTCTCCCTCAATTCCCAGAGTATCAACATATACACATATTTCCGTGTGATAAAGCTCAAGTAGGACTCCTAAGTGCTGATTAGACAATTAAACATTTTGATGAAGGAGAAGTACCTCTCTGCTGTTATTTCAAGTGATTAATGTGATTTACAAGGAAAATGTAATAACGTAGTCTGTGAGACTTGGCTTAAATTTTATGGAAAAAGTGATTTCTGCAACATCACTAATTTGAATTTGTATCTTTCTTAATCTCAGAGTGTATTAATAGTTGAAATAAATTTAAATATGCACAATTTAGAATGAAAGAAACAATTGTTATGGCACTGTATAATACAGCATCCCCTTTGTTTACCAACACCCACATGTTTTGCATTTTGACAGCCTTTTCCCTAATTCCAGTTATACTTCAGTGCAGAAGTTTTGCAGTTATTAGCATCTCAGAACCATCTTGCCACAGTATAAAGCCTTCCTATCAATTTGGCTGCAATACCTTTTAGAGATGGGCAAAGTGAAACCCTCTGGATGTTTCTGGACCGCAACACATGTTTTTAGACTACAACCCCAAGCATTCTTCATGATTGCTCTACTGGTGAGGATAACTGGTACCATGTTCCCCTAAAAATAAGACAGGGTTGTATATTAATTTTTGCTCAAAAATGCATTAGGGCTTATTTTCAGAGGATGTTTTATTCTGCAGTCATTTCATCTTCTGGTTGCTGCACAATGCTGCACAACGGTGGAAGGTGGAATTTCACTTAACTGGGGCTTATTTTGGGGGTAGGGCTTATATTACAAGTATCCTGAAAAAATCATACTAGGGCTTATTTTCAGGTTAGGTCTTATTTTCAGAAAAACTGGGTAATTGCAGTCCAACTGGAGGGCTGCCCTTTGCTGACTTGTGCTTTAAGGAATGCCAACCGTCCTGATGAATGCTTCCCCTAAACAGATGAAATACATAACTTTCCTCTCAAAAGAATTCAACTGTTTCCATAAAATATAACATTCATTACCATGGAGCAAAATATATCCCACAAAGTTATTATTGAGATTATAAGTAGATCTGAGGTTAGCTGGAGGCACTAAAAGCAATTAAAAAGGCATTCTTCAGGTATGTGAATAGCAAAAGACGAACAAAAGACATAGTGGCACAGCTCAGCAATGGAGATGGAAAAATTATAACAGAGGACAAAGAAAAGACAGAGGTGCTCAATTCCTACAGTCCATCTTTTCCCATACGAAAGACTATGAACTTCCAAACAAATTGGAAGTGGGTGTTTGTGACTGGATTGCAGCTGGAGATAGATAAACAAATAGTCAAGAAATATTTGTCTTCCACTGCTAAGCTGGCCCCACTGGGCAATGAACGGTGTTTTAACAAGACTTTCCCTCATCAGCCACAATGGACCTGTCACGATTACTCCTTTGTTCTGTACCTCCACTAGCCTCAGCACAGCCTGGACATTTGCTAGCTATTCCTTATCTATTATCTATTCACATGTCCCATTTTGCCCTTGCTGTTCCCATAAATATTTACCAAGATAGCAGATTCCACCAAATGATGGGGGAAATAATTTAATTTTGTCTAACACAACTCTTCTGAAACTGGCCTTTTGTTGAAGCTTCAAATGTACTGATAGGTGTCTTCAAGTACTGCCACATTAGAGTTATGTGCCATATCCAAAAAACAAACCACAGAAACTGTCATTTAGTGGTAAACTCAAAGCCTATTTTCTTTGAGGGTTGCCATCGTGAACCACACTGAGTGACACCTGGGTAAAAATCTGATCCTATCCTGATACCATAATAATAGAATCATCTAAATGTACTATCAAAGGCCGACTGATCATGCAGCCCCTCCGTCTTACGTAAGGTACCAAGGTACAGAGGCTATTCCCTGTAACAGGTGGGGTACCTCAAGGCTCAGTCTTGGGCCCAATGCTCTTCAATATTTTTATTAAAGACCTGGATGAAGGAGTGCAGGGAATACTTGTCAAATTTGCAGATGATACCAAATTGGGCGGAATAGCTAATACCCTGGAAGACAGAAACAAAATTCAAAATGACATTGATGGGATGGAGCACTGGGCCAAAAGCAACAGAATGAAATTCAACAGGGATAAGTGCAAAGTACTGCACCTCAGAAAAATAAACCAATTGCACAGTTACAAGATGGGGGATACCTGGCTCAGCAAAACTACGAGTGAGAAGGATCTTGGGATTGTTCATTGTTGTAGATCACAAGCTAAATATGAGCTAACAGGAAAGGTGGGCATGTTTAGCCTTGACAAGAATTGGGCATGTTTAGCCTTGAGAAAGGAAGCTGAGGGGTGATATGATAGCATTTTTCAAATATTTGAAAGGCTGTCATACAGAGGAGGGGCAAGATCTGTTCTCAATCTTCCCAGAGTGCAGGACACATAACAATGGGCTCAAGTTAAAGAAAGCCAGATTTTGGTTGAATAACAGGAAAAACTTCCTAACTGTTAAGAGTAGTACGACAGTGGAACCAGTTACCTTGGGAGTTGGTGAGTGCTGCAACTCTGGGGGCATTAAAGAAAATCTTAGATAATCACCTGGCAGATATGCTTTGATCCTGCATTGAGCAGAGGGTTGGACTTGATGGCCTTGTAGGCCCCTTTCAGCTTCTCTTTTCTATGATATGATTCTAAAGCCTAAAGGCTTTAGTCTTCGCCAGCTATTGTTTTCCAGAGCTTGGTTATTCAAAAACATTCTGACTTTCAGACTAGCATATGTGTTAATCATAACTACCAGTAATTGAGAGACATATTTCCATGAATATGTCTATTCTCCTTTCCAAGCTATCATATATGGTGGTCATTATCAAACCCTGTGGTTGCAAATTCCATAACTCAACTGCATACTATATATAGTATTGCCTTCTCTTCTCTTTGCTTAGCCTTCAGGATTCTTTTTAACTTGATGACCCTCAGTTGCAGCATTTAAAACAGGCAGGAAAAAAATGTCTCTCTGACCACTTTCCCACACCATACACATCTTCATCAGTCTCTAGCATGTCCCCACTCTATCACTAGTTTTCCTTTATCTAAGCTAAGATGCTCCAAACATTGTAATCTTGGAG